AAAAGTGGCTGATAAGAATATACTAGCATCGACGAGTGAAGCTGACGGGCCAGGAGGTGGTCGAGAATACTCACTGCTAGCCAGAAGTGGCTGATAAGAAAATACTAGCGCTAGTGAGTGAAGCTAGCGGGCCAGGAGTGGTGGTGAATACTTGGGGAACTAGAAGTGGTTTAAGAATACTAGAGCTGATGAGTGAAGCTAGCCAACCAGGAGTGGTTGAGAGTACTCGTGACCAGGAGTGGTCGTGACCAGGATGGTCTAGAATACTTAGGACCTGGAGAGGTCGAGAATACTTGGACCAAGAGTGGTTCTGACCTGGGTGGTCCATAATTTTCACTGCTGGCTTGAAGAGCCTGAGAAGAATATACTAGCGTTGATAAGTGAAGTTAAAGGGCTAGAAGTGGTCAATAATACTTATGTACTTAATTGCATATTTAGTGGAACCTTTCAGTTGAAGGAAACTAGACGTAGCTTAGTCTGAGTAAATCAATATAAAATAAGTTGCACTGCTAATTCTTATTTTTAGACGCATATCTTCATTACTGGTTAAATCTTTGTGAAAAACTTCGTCCACCTAGAATCTCTTAGTGAAATCATTTTTCAGATACAGACGCAAACTTTGCTTAATATATACTTAATACACTAAAAAGTTTTATCTACTGCTTATCTTTAAATGAAACTATCTTGAAAAGGAAAATGCAAGGACCTTAATTATTGTTGTTATATGAAACATTTTCCTTCAGTAGACGATAAATCCTTCAAACGCAATGACCTTGTGTTAAGCAAATTCTGCATAACCGTCTGGTATCTAAAAGTACATTGGACGAAGAACATTATTCTCGCGAAAATGGTTTAAAATCCCTTCTTACACACACACACACATTCAACCCCCCCTTCTATGTGTTTCATGTCTAACTTCAAACAGAAAGGTTACTAACATGAGAAGGCCTAGTAGAGTGTGGGTACCTAAGTCTCTCTAACTTTTTGATACGGTGATTTCTTTTGCATAAAAACAAGAAAGGGCAATGATACTTGGACAATGGATTTTCAAGGCTTATGACAAGAGATAAGAGCATGTTTATGACCCTTGTAAAGAAGGCAGATGGAGGATCTGTCACATTTAGAGACAACAGAAAGCAAAAATCAAAGGCATTGAAAAAATAGGTAACATGCATTCAACATAAATGGATAATGTGTATTATGTGAAATGGTTAAAACATTACCTTATAAGCATCAGTTAGCTATGTGACAATGGCTATGCGGTTATATTTGAACCAAATGCATCTTAGCTTAAGGATAAATCAACTAGGAAAGTACTATTTTATGGAAATAGAGAAAAGAACCTATATATTGTTCACTTAGAAGATATTCCAGATCATCTGATATGAATCCTCATGTCCTCATCATCATCCATGTCTTGCTATGATTGAAAATGGTAAATGGGTATGACACAAAAGAGTAGGACACATAAACATGAAAACTCTATCAAAATTATCTAATCTAGATTTAGTTAGGGGACTACCAAAAATCAAATTTGATAAGGATAGAGTATGTGAAGCTTGCATTAAAGGAAAACAAACAAAATCCATTTCTCAACCTAAGAAAAATATAACTTCTTAAAGAGTACTTGAACTACTTCACATAAATATGTTTAGACCTACAAAAACATTTAGTCTTGAGGGGGGAAGAAATATGGTTTTTTTTATTGTTGATGATTTCTCAAGATACAATTAAGCTTTATTTCTTTCTCATAAAGATGAATCTTTTCAAGCCTTCAAAATTTTTTGTAAAAAGCTTCAAAATCAAAAAGAATTGAAAATTATTTTAATCAAAAGTGATCATGCTTGTGAATTTGAAAATACTATGTTCAAAGATTTTTGTGAAAATAAAGGAATTACATATAACTTTCTTATCCAAGAATACCTTAATAGAATGGTGTTATAGAAAGAATGAATAGAACACTTCAAGAAATGGCTAAGACATTATTTTTTGAGTTTGGAATTCAAAACTTTTTGGATTGAAGAAATGAAAACAACATGTTACATCCTTAACAGATTCTCTCAATAAGATTTTGAATAAAACTCCTTGTTAATTATGGAAAAACAAGAAGCCAAGTGTGTTATACTTTCATGTGTTTTGTTGTACATGTTCTATTTTTAATAACAAAGACAATCTAGGAAAGTTTGATGAAAAATCATATAAAGCAATATTCCTAGGATATTCTTCAACATCAAAAGCATATAAAAGCTATAATTTGAAGATATTAACTATCGAAGAAAGTATGCATGTAATGTTTGATACTACTTCAAACGGTGTCTCTCTTGAACCATCTCAGAAAGTATCAAAAGAGTTGAATCATGAAGAAAAAGAAATATTTATTATGCCCAAAAGTTGGAGATTATCACCTTCTCATCCTCGTAAATTGATAATAGGAGATATTGCATATGGTGTGAGAATAAGAGCTATTATCAACAAAGAAAACAATCTCATAACTTTCCTATCAAACATGGAACCATAAAAGATAAATCTTATAGCTCTCCTATCAAAACATGGAACCATCATTTGAAGAAAAAGCTAACAGTACCAGAAAAGGGAAGTATAATGAGGTCAACATTGCTTAAAAACTAAGCAAATCACAACAAATCTATTATAGTGGCTATAAAAGGAAGATCAAGGTTATAGTTTTAAAGTAAGCAAGATAAAAAAAAAGTAATAAAAACACAAGCTATCAAATCTACAATCTTTGCTTCATACTTTGATTTATTCATAGAACTTCACTTCAACATTTTTATCAATCTTGTAATAGGAAAATAAAGTGTAAATCTCCCTTAGTGAAAGCTCTAGCTTATGAGAGTCTGTTGTAACCTTAGTAAAGTGCTAGGATATAAAAATCCAATTCTATTAATAGTCTTTCCTACCCAAATATGAGTTACAAAAGTATAGGAAGGAAGGAAAGAAATCACAACAAGGGTTGTGTGATCTCATAGCAAGTGATTGGGAGGTTGGGTATCTCAGCATGTGACTGAGTGTGAATCACTAATAGTAGTTGGTTGTGTAGTGGTGTGATTGTATCAGTAGGTGGTTGAGTTGTTTCTTGAACAACAATTGGCTATAATAGTGAAAATCTCATAAGTTTTTGTAGGAACTGGATGTAACCTAGTTGGGTGAACTATTATAAAACTCTGTGTGAAATCTCTCTAACTTTATCATCCACTTGCTCCATTTACTTTATTGCATCTTATATTTATTGCTGAAAACTATTTTTAGCCTAAGTTTGAACAATCAAAAGTTTACTTTTTCAAGAACAAATTTTCATAAATAATTGTTCTTTAAAGAACATGCACATACACACGCACACACATAATAGTAAGCCAACCACTAGAAACAACACTATTGTTTAAATCGGGTAAGACTATTATAAACAATAAAATTCTAATTTAATATAACTATATATCTAATACTCAAACTTAAAACTACTAGTTAAACTAAAATAATTTTATATTAATTTATCTACATGTTTAGTAGTACACTACTAGAAAAGTGTCATTTTCCTACAAATTTTCCTGGAAAAAAATATTCGCAGAAATTTTTTGCGAATTTTCTTGCAAAAAGATAATCGTAGAAATTTTTTGAAAATTTTCCTACAAAAAAATATTCACAAAAGTTTTTTGCGAATTTATTTGCGAAAAAATAATTTGCAGATATTTTTACAAATTTTGCTACAATTTTAATGATCATAGAAAAAAAATTCCATGGTAAAAATTTATAGAAAGTATTGTAAGAATTTTATTTTGTTTCTTGCAGATTTTCTTGCAAAAATAAATTTGCAAGTAATGTTTACTAAATGGTAGAAAAAATTTGCAGGTAACTTTTCCTGCAAATTTTAATGCGTAGGAAAAATAAAAAAAATATATTTAAATTTATAAGTTTAATATTTTTAAAAATTTTCAAGTCCCACATCGATTGAAAATAAAACAATTAAAGAGTATATAAGTTGGGGCAACACTTACCTTACAAGTTGATTTGTATGGTTGAGTGTTAGGCTTATAATCTACAATCTTAGAATTTAAAAGATTATGTATTACATGTTGGATGTGAGACCCCGTAGACTCCCCCTCTCTTTTCTCTATTCTCACTCACTCTCAACCATTACCTCTCACTCTCTCTTTTCTTCCTTTGTGGTGGTTGTGGGGAGTTTAGGTGCTGACTAGTGGTGTTGAAGCCAGCTGTGGGCGCAGAGTTTTCTCAAAGCTTCTCCTTCTTCTTCTCCGTCTATCTCTTCTTCATTCAAGCTTCCTCTTTTGTTGTTCTTCTCTTCCCGGAGCTCGGATCTTCGTACCGAGGTAAGGGAAGCTAGATTCTGTTGTACTTTGGTTGTAATTGAGTCATAGCACTCATTTGATGATTGTGAATGGTTGATTCTTGGCTGAAATTTGAACACTACTACATATATACCATTTTACATCGGTTATTTAACATTATTTACATCGGTTCTAAAACCGATGTAGAATAGAGTGACGTAGTATGTGTATACTATTTTACATCGGTTTTAAAATCGATGTAAATTTGTGCATAATTTTACATCGGTTCTATATATAACCGATGTAAACTTGTCTCCATTTGCTTCATCATGAGTAGCCGTAGCAAGTGCTGAATCCGCAACAGGTGCAACAGATTTTTCTAAAGTTGGATCAGCAGCTGCATCAGCTGCCTTTTTGGTTATGGCATCACCGCCTGATTTAGACGGACCAGCACCTTCTTTGGTTCCATCAAAGATTTTATTTGAGTGCGCAACAGCAGCTGCAACAGCAGCTGCATCAGCAGCTTGAGTATTTAAGGCCTCACCGCATGATCCAACACCATGCTTGCATTCACAACGACTAGAAAAGTTATCATCTTGAAACAGTCACAAACAAATTACATGTAAATGTAGTTGTACCATAATAAAGACAAAGCAAAGAATTGGTAACCTGCGTAGTCTTTTCGCAACCAGTCTCACCAGATATGAAAACTACCTGCTTTGAAACAAATGAAAGAAATATTAAGACCAAAACACATACAAAAATCTAATATGCAAATTCAATTTAATTGTATGTTGAAATGCACTAAAACTAAAATCTTATTCAACTATGTTATTAGATATATTTAACATGTCAATGTGAATCATATAAGCTTAGTGCACTCAGCACCCAAGGTACCGAGTATATGCATATCCAAAGGCAATTTTACAAAGCAAAATAAATTAACCTGGTGAGATTCAACAGTGGGTGTAATTGCATCCTTGAAAGATATTTAGTTCCCTTATATCCAAGTCAACTCTAACCATCAAAATTCATACATCGTTAAGCTCGAAGGGTCCTTCTCTTGGTCGATGGTGGGACTGCAATTGAAGTAAATATTTTTGTTAATTTTTGTTTCACACACAGATCAAATAGTTTATGGTTATTGGTCGCTGAGGCATCCCAACGTCTAAGTCTAACCAAAGCCAAAGATTTTTTATTGTGGGTCTTGGACTTTGTGGTGTTAGACAATTAGACCCAAAAGAAATGAACCCATGATTAACCATCAACAGAGTTTGAATCTTGATGCTTAATTCTTTCTTACATGTGATGAAAATTGACTTAAGAAGTGATGGAGGGAGACAGGATTTAGATGGAAGATAAAAGAATTGAAAGCATACCTCATGCATGTGCCACAAGGAAGCATGCCAGAGAGCCTCATGAGCCCATCTAGCCCAAAACTCCATACCCACCTGAAAATCAGACATACCCACTTCAATTTATCACCCCAAAATTCTGGATTCAAAACCATCCAAACCTTAATCGGAAATTTTGAGCCATAATTACTCACAGCAGCTCCCACTGATAGAGCAAATGTGCCAAACATTTTGGACCAAGGCACTTCTCCACCCTACACCAACCAAACCCAATTTCATATTCAGATTATATTCACATGCCAATGTGAAAACATAATTAAAGAAAAAAAAAAGTAGTTTATACACTCACACTACTGTTTGACATCAGTGGCTACAGAGTCCGAAACTGGAGTAGTTATACAGATCTGCTTCATGCCTTGTTGAAGCAAACTGCAAGCAAACCTGTACCGCAGAAAAAAAATAGATGAATTATTTGTGAGGAGTAGGAGTAGGAGTATGAGGGAAGAGAAAAAGAAAATGGTTTTGGTATTGCTTAAGTTGGCACCTGGCATGTGATGTAGGTATCGGTGGTGCCTCTTCTTCTTCTTCTTCCCTGAATCAAAAACCCTAATTCTCCATTTCCCACCATGATTCGGTAACTATCATGTACAAAGAGCGAGGAGGAGTGTCCGTTTCCTCCAAATCGGAGGATCGCAAGCGAATCAACGACGTCCTCGACAAGCACCTCGAGCGATCCTCTCCCTTCAGCAACGAACTCACGTCAAGACCACCACGTCTCGGGAAAACTCCTTCGGGAGCGTCTCCAAACCCTAAACCATCATCACCCATTCGTACAAGATCAGAGACGCAACACCTAAGAAAGAAGGGTTTCAATGTTTACCTATAAGAGTTTCAACGAGCCTAGTAGTGTATCAGAAAATCAGCTTCGAAGATCAATGACCTTGCTAGTGTGTGATTCGCGCGAGCTAGGTACCTTCAAAGTTCAAGTTTTATCTTCTTTAAAGCACAACCAAGAAATTACAAAATAAGAGATAAGGTTGAAGAAGATTGCACAAGTCTTTTATACTGGTTCAGCCACTCCACATGTGACCTACATCCAGTCCTTAATCACCACCTGATTAAGATTTGATCCACTATCTTTTAGCAAGAAGGTTTACAAGCACACACACATGCATATACTTCACTACAAAAAGATAACCACTTTCTTGACCCCAAGAAAGTAACCCTTGTAGAACCCACTACAAGAAACTTCACCACTTGAGAAACCCTTCTCAAGATTTTTCACAAAGATTCACAAAGAATAAAATGAAACGAATTCACCTGGAATTCTTGAACAAATCTTTGTCTTCCTCTTTCAAGAGTATGATGATGATGATGATTTCCTCACAAGCTTTTCACAAACGTTTTTCTCTTGGATTTCACAAAGAAAACTCTCCAAGATGTCACACAGACTCTCTAAAACGTTTTTACCAGTTGATTATCAGTTTTTACTCAATGTTATGAAGTTTCAAAAGAGTTCAAACTATTTATAAAAATTCAAACCCAGATAATCGATTATTTTAAAGAATAATCGATTATTTTGTTCTTCAGATTTCTGGAAATCAATCAAGAACAATTTAATCGATTATTTAGCTGGATAATCGATTATTCCAGAGAGTTGTTCCTGAAATAATCGATTATTTTGGCAAATAATCGATTATTACAGCAAGGCATTCCACTTAGCCCACTTGCTGAAATAATCGATTATATTTAACAATAATCGATTATTTTGAGTCAGTTCTTAAAACTTCATTTTAAGTCTCAAAATAATTTTCCAATGTTTAACTCATCATCATCTACTCCCTACTTGATTCTAGACAAGATTTGCTCAATGCACAAAGCACACACAGACACAAACATAACAATTCATTTATAACAATTTGCTTCCTAAGCTCTATTACATAGCTATACTTCAAGGTATTTTTCTTGACTCTTCCTTGACTTTGTTTTTGTGTTCAATGTTGTTGTTGTACACTTGTTGTCTCCAAGTTTTTGTGATCATCAAAACTCTTAAAGTCTTCAGCTCCCCTAAGCTCAACAGTGGTGTTTTTGAGCTTTTGGTTGAAAATGTAGTACTTTGGCTGGATTGCATTTGGGTTTTCTAGTTGATTTTGCAGGTTTTGGGCAAAGTTTTCAAACTTGGTGGGTTGCTGCTGAGCTTCGCGCTGAGCGTCGTTCATCGCGCCGGGCGCGTGACCACCTGAGGGCAGCATTTAGGCAAGCTCGCCGGGCGCAAAGATGTGTACGCCGGGCGAGCTTGAGGATGTTAGCCTCTGGATGGTCCACATCGGGCGTGACCTGAACTGCGTCGGGCGCGATATCAGTTGTAACATGTTTTTTTGGTTTCTGGCATGGCGTCGGGCGTGATCATTGTCGCGCTGGGCATGGGGACTCCTTGGGAGTCTCTGCCATGGGGGCGCTGGGCGTAATTTGAATTGCGTTGGGCGCGAGACCTTGGGAGGTCTCTGCCTTTCCCGCGCTGGGCGCGGGTTTGGGCACGCTGGGCACGTGAGACTCCTTAGATTCTCTGCCTGGGATGCGCTGGGCGCAATTGGTATTGCGCCAGGCGCGTGTGAGCCTTGGGCTCTCTGGCTGGGTCCCGCTGGGCGCGGGTACACTTGCACCGGGCGCGCTGGCCCCTTGGTGCTCTCTGGTTGTACCGCGCAGGGCGCAACCATGAGTGCACCGGGCGCGGAGATGAGATTTCACTATATGCTGTTAGATGTTGCTTTATGCTGAGTATGAGCTAAAATTGATGAATATGCTGTGCTGAATAGTTGATACTACTAAATCATGATGTTGAGCTGTAATGGATGTATATTGCTGTAAGTTGTCTAGATGTGCTGTAGGATGATATGTTGTGCTGTAAGCTGTGATGTGTTGTATGCTGATATAAATTGTTGTAGGCCGTAAGGCTGAGCTGTTGTAGGCCGTAAGGCTGAGCTGTTGTAAGAGATCTCCGAGCTGATATGTGTGACGACGCATTGTGTGTTTATTGTTGTATAGTTGATGAGATGTATGTTGATGATGTGCTGATAGCTGTAGCTGTTCATATTACATATATATGCTTTGTATGTTGATTCTTTTCACTAGCTTACCCTTTGTTGTTTCCATGTGTTTAGACTGCGATGATCATACGTTGTATGGGAGCAGAGCAGGTTAGGTTGGTGATCTGTGGCAAGTCTGCAGCTGACGGATAGAGCTGGTCTTTTGTTGTTTTTGTTGTTTTAGCTACCTAGTGGAGTAATGATGAATGTATTTTGAATACTCCGATGTCTAGCTCAGATTGGACCTTGTGTATATATTTATATACTTGTTCTTATCTGTGTGTATGTTGTGTTGTTGAGTAGTGTGTAGTGACCAGCTGGGTCGTTACATTGGAGGCATGGAAACAAATGCTTCGGATGAATTCATTGTGAGCATTTGAAAGTTGAAGAATTATTGATAGAATTTATAGTAATTTCTTTAATTTTTTTGTAAAAAATATTCTTGCAGAATTTCTTGCGAAAAAATTCGCAAGAAACTTTCCTGCAAATTTTCTTGCGAATTTTTTTTGCAGGAAACTTTTTTGCAAAATTTTTTTTGTAGGAAACTTTCCTGCAAATTTTTTTCGCAAGAAATTTCATAGGAATGTTTCCTGCGAATTTTAAAATTCGCAAAAATATATTATCCACGAAGGTATTACTTGCAGATAAAATTTCGCAGAAAAATTTGTAGGAACAACGTTTCGTGCGAATTTTCATAAAAATTCGCAGGAAAAACCGCATGTATTAAGAAAAATTCTAGTAATGGTACGAATTATTGAATTTATCATTAAACAATAATTAGGAAAGAGAAAAAATATTGTATGGGCAATGAAAATATCACATGCCAGAAAGTTTTCTTTGCACACATCGTATGATCTGGAATTTTGATAATGTATTTAGGAAATTTAGTTATCTCTACTAGTTATACTGAACATTTATAGTCCTGCGTGTAGGAGAGAATTCTGAATCTTTATGTAAGCTGCTTACCAAGTAAGGAAACAAAATAAAATAAAAGTCCATAATAATAATAATAATAATGCTAGTCTCTTTAAATTTTAATTATTATTGTCGTTTTACTCGTGTAATAATAGAATGAAACATGGTGGCACATCAATTGAATGGGCTTGCTTTTTGATATATCCAAATAAATGGTGTTCGTGCCGAGGAAACAGTGGACCATATATACTTTGTAACCTATCAAAGCTAGTTTGTTGAGTCCCTTTGAAATTTGAATGCTGGCCTTGTCAGAAAAACAAAAACCAAAAGAAAAAAGTTTCACCAAGAGTTAGTGTCACTTGACATTGAAAGATGTTTATTTTATTCACACCGTTTGTCTTCTTTAGGGTTAAAATTAAAACATGACCCTTGATTTTATACTGATTTTGGTATTATATAATTATCTTTTGGTTTTTCTCCATCTAACTTAATTTAAAGTTATAAAAAATAATCTCTGAAACGACTTCAAAACTTTGAAGAACATGTCATATTCATGCATCAAAATGGAGAGAGAAAAAATTGTAAATCTCATACTTAAAAAACAAACCAAAAATTATAAATAATTTGTTATTTTAACAAATTATAACATTTATTTTTAGAATAGATTACATTGACATTTTTTGAAGTTTCATAAGAGTGCACACGAATTTTTATTTTTTCTTTTTCACTGTTACAATAAACCTTTAATTATTTGAAAAAATTATATTGACACTATGTAGACATTAAACTATCATTCTAATTAATTGTTTCTCATGAAGTATTATTATAATTTACTGTTTATCTTATTATTTCTTTTAAATTAAAACCTTTTCTAAGTAAATAAGGCTGGACATTCAATAAGGCAAGTAAGGTTAATGCCTAGAGCTCCCAAACTTATAAGGCCTCCAAATTCTTTTAATACTAGTATTATCGATATAAATTAATTTTTAAAAAATTAATAATATTTGAGATAAGGTCCAATATTTTATAAAACACATATCTTACTTTTTTTATATCTCTTATTTTTTTATTATTAAAATTACTTGAAAGCGTTAAAGCCATAAAGTTTCAAGCACAAAAAATAAGGGATACACTTGTTTAATTATCAAAAACTAGTGAAGATCCTAAGATAAAGAGTGAAGCCATGTGTTTAGCGACTTATGAGATGAATAATTTTGAATTTTTATTAGGAATGAATATTTGGTATGATATACTTTTTGCGATTAATTTTGTAAGTAAGATTATGCAATCTAAAGATATGCATATAGATGTTGCTATAGATCATTTAAGAGGCCTTATAACTTATTTAAAAAATTATAGGGAAAATGGTTCTGCATTTACATTAGAACCCGCCAAAGAAATGACTATTGAAATGGATATAGAGACTAGGTTCAATGAAAAACGTAAGATTCATAGGAAAAAAATATTTTGATGACATTAGTGATGAGATAGCTCATTCTGCTGAAGATTTTTTTTGCATTGATTATTTTTTGTATATATTACATCAATATATTTCTTCTATTGAGAGTCAAATTTTTAGAATATGAAAATATGTTTTGTTTTTTATTTGATTCAAATAAATTTAAAAACTTTGGGGAAAGATGAACTGAAAAAATATTGTATCAATCTTGAAAAGATTTTGAGTTTTGAGAACCATTCTGATATTGATGGTTTTGATTTGTTTTCAGAATTAAAGTTATTGAAAGAAATTCTAACAAATGAAATTAACATACCATTAAAAATATTGAACTATATAAAAAGATCATTTTCTTTTCCAAATACATACATTACTTATAGAATATTATTAACATTACATGTAACTGTTGTGACTGTTGAAATAAGTTTTTCAAAATTAAAATTAATTAAATCATATTTAAGATCAACTATACTACAAGATAGATTGAATGAGTTAACTATATTATCTATTGAGAGTG